TAGGTAGGGCGGCAAGGTGCATGGGGGCAAGGGACCATGGTAAAGCTGCCCGTTCCCCTGTCACTTGCCTTCCCACCACTTGCCCCCTTGCTGCTGCTCTTCCTGCTGCAGCTGTTTGTGTATGTGGGAGGACGCACACACATTTAAGATGACCCTTTAAAAATTAGACTCTCTACATGGAAAATTATAAGAATGTGATACTATTTCATGTGTAGAATCTAATTTTGTGGGGGTCATCTTAAATTTGAAGTAATTTTGGATTTGAGTAAATATGGAAATCGACAGATTTCTGATACAGCCATCTGTATCTTCAATTCAGTGGGGATTTTGGTTGAAAAGAAAAATACAGGATTGTGCCCTGAATGTGCCCTAAAATAAAATGTCACAAATCCATCACCTAGTGTTATCATCACAAAACGCTTTTTAACAAATTTTTAGTTGCACTTCTAAGTGTATTTTAAGTATTCAGATATTGTTGTATAAAATAACTCTGGAAATAGAGACCATCTAATATTGCAGCATAAGACTTGCAAAGATTTATTTCATCAGCTGCAGCTGTTGTTTACTGGTTCTGTGTTAATGGCAAAGATTGGCAAGGCTGCAGTACTGCAGAGAAGGACCTGAGGTTTATAGTGGACTGAATATGAAAGTGAACTGATGTTATAGTGGAGCTGAATATGAGCCAACAGTGTGTTCTTGTTGCACAATGAGCCAAGGACATACTGGATTGTATTAATGGAAGTGTCACTTGCAAATCATTTCCCTTGATTTGCAAGTGACACTCCTGTTAATACAATCCAGATTTAATTTTCAGTCTTAGATGCATTACAGTGGGCGGGCACTGGGTAAACGTGGTGAGAGTTCAGCTCACCAGCACAGTGGCAGAAGTTTGAAGCTGTAATTGGAATTTGGCACTTTTTTCTGTGAAAACTTTCTTCATTGAAGAAAAGACATGCTCAGGTCAACCACAACCACCACACGGATTTGTGTTGAATGTGCTGTACTGCTTCACATGAAACAAAGAAATGACAAGAAAACCCTCAGGGTATGTGCTAGGCCTGGGTTTCTTGTACAGCAAGGTTCCATGTAAAAGTCAGCACCAGAGACAGAAGCTGCATGTTCCAGCTTTGCTCTTGTTTGTCCCCTTTGTCATGTTTGGCCTTAAAGAGAAAATGATTTGATTTCAACAGTGAAAGCCCAGCTCAGCGTGAACTAGCCTCTACTCTTACTGCCCCCAGAAAAGACCATCTTGTCATGTCATATGAAAGGCTATCAAAGCCAGAGGTTTTCCAAAAGAGGCTAAAGGGAATAGGACCATTACTACTTTTATGACTTTAATTAAATGTCTAGTAAGTTCATATATCTTTTTCCAATAGTAGTTATTGCCAGTATCTTGATGCAGAATCCTATAAGGATTTAGTGTTATACAGAAACCAAGGCTTTCATTAACATCTTATCCTTCACTGGGGCTTAGATACCTTTTTTCATACAGCCCTCCTTTTTCTCTGGTACTTCCCTAGTACTTGCTTATTCCAACTCTGGCTGGAGTGCCTTTAGTTACAGGGCTTATCCTCGCCCATGACACTGGGCACAGACAGAAGTTATATTTGTTGGGAGATCGGCCTCTTGAAAGCACTCTATAGCTGTGTCCTTACAGAAGTTCAGGGCTATAGAGAGCTTTAAATGTGCCCAATTGCAAAACAATCAGAACCCCCATTACACAGGAGGTGGGGGTGGGGACTGCAGACATGCAGCTGCTCCAAACTGAAGCTCAGTCCCCCAACCTCCTGGACCTGACAGTGAACATCTGTTGGGTCGGGAGGTACACTGTAACTCATGGCACTTCCTGCAAAGAGCCATGAGTTACAGTGAGGGGATGCATGTCTGTCAGCACCTAGTGTTTCTAACTAGGTCCCTATTTCTATTTTGCCTTTCTCAAAGTTTTCTGCAAAAGTAACTTTGTTTCCTCACTCCAACCATCTCTTTGCCCACATCTGTTGCACTAAATTCTGAGTGTTAGCCTCATCCTAACAAAGAAATACCTCTTCTGCCGGGTTAAACTTTTTCCTACTGATGAGGTCTCTCCCTACCCACTCTCCTTTCCCGTACTTTCAATAGTCCACACTTTCATCCTCTTAGACCACCTTCATTGCTGTGAAGGCATCCCTCTCTGTTGTTATTCATATCACTGCAGCCCACCTAATCTACTCTTTCTGTGTCTCTGGTAATGGTTTCCCTTGGGCCAAGATCCTCTGTTCTCCATGCTCTTTTCTTCCTTGGATATGATATTTACTTCTTTAATACCATCATTGTTAAGCTGATAATTGTCCAAATGAGCTGAAGATGCAGTTCATTGTCTTTTGGTAATGGCAATTACTCAAGCTGCCTGGGTCAAGTTCACTTATGGGTTCATTTTAACATTCTTCACTTAAATGTCTCAAGAGTGGAGAAAAAAGAAGCATCTTTTATAGTTCTTCCTTCTTTGAATCTGTTCTGTTTGCCTTCGCTATCTTTAATCTTGGTACTGTACTGGACTTCTGAAACCAGTATCTTGACATAAAGTGGATTTGCATTAATTCCAGTAGAATACAGGCAGTTGGGGCTCCTATGGGCATGCAGCGAGGCTGCTCTGATGTGCTGTAAATCCAGTGCATCAGAGCAGACTGGATTAATCAAGTCTACCGGAGTGTGGAAATTACCATGCTCCAGCAGCCTCCTGCATCACATGTATCAGTGTCCCCATGCTGAAAAATGGCAGTAGGGTGCTTTAAATTAAAACTTGTTCAATAAGCTTTAGTTTAAAGCCTCCCACCACCATTTTTCAGCGCAGGGACACCGATACATGTGACACTTGGGCACTTTTAATTAGCATGGCTCGCTAATTAAAGCACTGCCCCCCTTCCTCCCCCCACCTCCCAGAACACATCTATAAATGCCCTTTATGCTTAAAGAGGGGAACATACACCCCAAAATAAAGCCTAGGATTCATGGGCATATTTACATGTAGATTTGCACACCTACTTTGGCATGCAGTCATGTCAACTCTGTCTCTAAACCAGGTGTGGCAGGACTCTGCACTGCTACATGGGGGGTTGGATTGTCCTGAGCCGACTCTCCTGCCATGACTGGTACTTGGTTCCCTTGACTGAAATCTTCCTGCTGGCACAGGCTGCCCACTGGCACCTTCTGTGGGGCTCTTCCTCCCCGACACTCCACCCCTTTTCTCTTGGGTGTTACAATGGATCGTAGGCTGCATTCAATGGTTCAGTGTGACTGCTTGGAGTGCAGCTGCATGGTGTCTTGTCTGTGGCCACTGGCCATGTGGTACTGTAGTCAAAATGAAAAATCTAACACAGATACACAATGAACAACTAAATGTGTCTCAGCATGGGCAGGGCATGGCTCCGGTTTCCCGCACTGAGCCACTTGCTTCCAGGCACCAGAGTTTCAGGGGTTCTGACTTCACCCCATTTTTCCTGTCTCCTCTGGTGCCCATTGTTATAAGGGGCTCTCCATTGGTGTGCTTCATGTGTGAGTCCTGACTATGGGCTTGCTGGGGGGTTGTGATGCACCCACCCCTATGTGAGAGCCTTCCCTCACTCACGTGGACTTTGGCTGGGTGGGAGTTGCCCAATCTCGGGGCTCTGTGTTGCCCTGGGGCCAGATCCCAGCCCCCTGCTCACCCTCCCTTGCCTCTGACCCTAAGGAGGCCAGCCTCCCTGACTTATGAGCTGGTTGTGGTATCTGTAGCGATGGTGGTGGTGTCCATGTCAGCAGCAGTGGTGTCAATGGCAGTGCCATTGGTGGCAGTGGCAGTAGCATCAGTGGCAGCAATGCAGGTTGTGTTGTGGGTGGCAGTGCTGGAGGCAGCAGTGGCAGCGCTGCTGAGAGTGGTGCAGGCAGTGGCGTCAGTAGTAGCAGCAGCAAGCTCCTGGTGCTGTGCGTGATGTTCAACCCCAGTTCCCAGGCAGCATTTTATGGTGCGGACACTGCGCACGGCCTAACCACCTGCACTGCAGAGAGCAGGTAATTCAGGCGGGGGTCTGCCACACCAGGATACTCAAATAGGTCTCTAGATGCACAGATTCTATCTTTCACATTAACATGCTAGTTTACACGTCCATTTGCAGAAAAACTGCATGAACATGTTCCCGGTAACTCATTGTATGAAAGTAATCTGACATTTAATCTCTATTTCCAAAATATTAACTGTTGATAATTACACCTCAGTAAGCACATGGTTTAACTGTCAGTAAAACACTTTCTGATCCTCCAATGAAGTACTTGTATGCTGTTATAAACAAGCCAGCTCAACTTTGCGAACAGCTATGCTCTTTGTAAGCCTTGTTATCCCTGGGATAAGGTACACTTTCAGGAGCAGTCTTGTGTATTTTTACAGTAATTCTTCTTGCAAGAAAATGTAGCATTAATTGCTTTGGCCCCTCTTTAAATGGCCTTATCCAAAACCCTGTGAAGTCACTGGAAAGAATCCCACTGATGTCATTGGTTTTGGACCAGCCTCCCACTGAAATGATGATACAACTGGCCACCGAACCTCTGCAAAGACCATTAGCTTGGAATATCAATGAAGTATCCTCCATCTGCCCAGCACACGCATTTGCAGTTCAATGTTTTCTTTTTTTTTGTTTGTTTCTGAAGCAATGTTTTTTTTAATGATTAAAAGGCAGCCTGGGCTGCATTTTGGAAACTCCATTACTGCAGGACTTGGTTATCACCCTTAAACAATTTGGCTTCATGTTTACAATTCAGACATTCTCACGACCCAATTCCTATTTAAGGACTTGTCCATCTATTTAAAGCAGAGGGAAAAATGCACTTGAAATGAATAGTGCGGATGAGATATTGCACCAAATATTCACTTTCTTTTAGAAGCAGCATCAGAATCAGGGATCCCACGACTCGGTTTTTTCTTTTTTTTTCCGTGATAGATGTTTGAAAACTAGAACACCCTTTTAGGGGTTAGAAAAAGTGTCTGACAAATAAATAGCTTAAACCTTTGAAAAACAACACAAGAATGCAGCGTTCCAGCAAGTTTCTCATACCGAGGGAAAGGAGAACAGGGCCAACATAAAGAAAGCCCCTTTAGGATAAAACTTTTAAACTGAAATTAAATGTCTTTTGTTGAAGAAAGGGGAAGTAAAAAACCCAACAACCCTAGATATCTGAAGTTGTGACCAACAAACAGAAAGGATGGAGCCGCCAGCAATAAAAATACACTACAGGAAATTCTAGTCTCCAGCGATAAATAGAAGTCACAACAGCACAGGATGCATGCAGGGCGAGCTCTTTAGGCCAACGGGATATGAAAGGCAAACAGCCTGTCTTCTTTTGTTTTAACATCTGACGCGTGTCCCCTGCAGGTCTGGGCCGCGCAGCTGGTTGCTTGGGAGGACAGCACCGATCCTGCCACTCTCCGCCAGACCCACAGCGAGGATGGGCACGGTCCTCTTTGTTCTCTTTGGCCACGGGCTCCTATGGTGGGCACCCTCCTGGGCTGGTGAAGAGGCAGCAGTTCAGTGCTTGGGAACAGCTTGCTACACTGTCCACTGGGGCAAGCACAACTGGGCTGGTGCCCAGGACCAGTGCAAGAGCAACGGGGGCAACCTGGCCAGTGTGAAGAGCCAGGACGAGGCACAGCTGCTTGGTGACCTGCTAGCCCCGGATGAGGTGAGGGCACCGGGGCTGGTGAAGCTGTGGATGGGGCTGCGCCGGGAGAAGGGCAAGTGCTATCAGAGGCACCAGCGCCTCAGGGGCTTCAGCTGGGCCTCCGGAGGGGATGACGCTGACTACAGCAAATGGCACACGGAGCCGCGGGAGACCTGCACGGCCCAGCGCTGCGTCACCCTGCGCCTGGATCTTGCCTCCCGGGACTCCTGGGAGCCCACCTGGACAGACGGCCCCTGCAACGACTTGGGGGTGAGCGGCTACGTGTGCAAGTTCAGCTTCCAGGGCATGTGCCGCCAAGTGGCGCTGGCCGGGCCGGGCTCGGTGACCTACAGCACCCCGTTTGGGGCCGAGAGCACCGCCCTGCAGGCCGTGCCCTTCGGCTCGCTGGCCACGGTGGAGTGCGGGCCAGGCGGCGAGCAGCCGGGCAGCTTCTTCGTTTGCCAGAAAGGGGACGGGGGTGCCTTCATGTGGAGCAGCCCGGGGCCCCTGTGCGCCGGGCCCGAGGGGGGCTGCGCCTACCGCAACGGGG